ACCTCAACAACAATGTGAAATGCAACTGAAGTAAATCACACACAAGGTGACATAATGATTTATCTCATGGTTCAGCTCGCCACCAAGGCTTGCCTAAGTCCACATTGTTGAGGTTGCCACTAAGGCTAGGGCTTTGCAACCCTCCCTCGTTGTCAAGTCAAGAGAGTTACCTCTTGAGATGAGGGGTGAGTTTACTAGCTGCAAGAGATGATTACAAACCTCCTGGGGCTACCACATAGCTAGCAAGCTCCACGAGCAATGCTCTAGCTAGCTAGGAGGCAAGCTCCAAGAGTAATAAACACAACCGCCGACCAAAACGTGAACCAAGTGCTCTTTAGGCTTTAGGAATCAGTGGATCTGCTCTCTAATCGAGTTTGACACCTTTTCTCTCAAGGATTGATGGGGAAATAAATGGAGAATCTTGAGAGCTCAAGGTCACCAATGGAGGAGAGAGAGATGAGCACTTTTATGTTCTTAGGTGAACTGAATGGTTTAGAAGAAAGAGAGATATGTTGGAGAGGAAGGGGAAAGGTATAAATACCCCCCAGCCCCAATGGTCACTTAAGTCATGGCAGTGACCACGCTCAAGTGCAGTAGTGCCGCTCAGCGGTAGTGCCTCTCTCCAGGTGCGGCACTACCGCACAAGGCAAGACATCAAGGATAAGAGTGAAGCGCTGACTGTCTTGGCTGAGTAACTGAGGATGTAGGTGTAAGATAGAGCACTTGGTAGCACATGTTAGCTCAAGCATTGTGTCTCCCTTTATAGTATGGCTTTTCCTATACTCAAATTTAAAATATAAAAGAATTTAAATCTCCTTTAAGTTTGAAGCCATCGACATTTGTAATTGGGGCCACCTCTATTTCGTATAACATCCTCGATTATATATTCCCTGCTTGTCATCTCAATAAATCGCATTAGTCCTCTAATTGCGTGGTCATTATCACCAAAACCTACAATTAGGGCTTAATTGCACTTTCAGAACTTCAGAGCATTCAAGCGAGGAACACACACTCGATCATCTCTAAGACTGGATGTAGGGCTCCGACCTCAACCAGTATAACTCCTCATGTCTTTTGAATGCTACCATCGTCCTCCTAGAGCAGCATGGCAATCATATAAGTTTACTAGTCTGGTTTACGTAACACCGACACCTTGTTATTGAGTATTGCTAGTGAGCTTAGGCGTTGCATAGGTTTGTGTGACTTTACTTTTAGAATTGGTTAGGTGGGCTCTAGCTAGCCCAGCACCTTAGTTGCTTAATTAGTATCTTTGTTAGGTGCTAGAGAACTTAGATAGAGGGGTGTAGTCTTGGCTAGACCGTTAGTTTTAATTCTGCTTTTGTTTCGGTTAGCCGGCGCGATTAATTTTATAAAGGACTATTCACCCCCTCTAGTCCACCATCTCGACCCTACAGCCGGTTGATTCTAGCCATGGAGGTAGGATCCAGACGGCGAGCACCACCAGCACCGGCTACGCTCGTGTGTTCCCTTGGCTTGACCAGGAAAGACCTAAGGCGCCACAGCACGTGCGCCCTAGCAGCCATGGCAGGGTCAGTGGCACGTCTGACGGTGATGGGTGATGGACGGACAGCAAGGGAGCGAGCGGCGCAGGTGACTGGGATGTAGGTGAGTGGCGGCGCAAAAGAGCAAGGGCACGCGGCGCGGCCGATGATGGGGGGAAGGGCACAACGTGGGTAGCCCGATGAATTCGTGGTGGGGGAAGAGGGCGGATGGATGAGCGGCCACACTGTTTCGGGGTCAAGCAGATAAGCATATGGGGGAGTGGGGATTTGTTTTTTTGTTTATGAGATAGATGGGGCCTACTCATATGGAGCCGCGTCCGGACACATGTTGCTATTTTTTTTACTTTTTTTTTATACGTTACTATCTATTTTTTTCAACATTTTCTCTCTCTCTTTTCACTTTTCCTCTTCTTCCGATCTAATTGAATCTTATGACCATAAAACTACAAAAGTTATGATAAGAAGTAATGGTGATAATTTGTCACGTGAAAATTTATGCACATAAGTTGTGAGCATAGCTTTGTGATTTTCTAAAAATAAAATTTTCTAAAAATTATTATTTCTAAGAAAGAAAAGTCAAAAAAAATTACGATGGCAAATTGTCGTGATAAGTTATTCTGTAAAAAGTCATGCAAATAATTTGTGTGTATAACTTTGTAACTTTCTAAAAATAAAAAGTTATAAACATATTGAGAAAATGTTATGGATAAGTTGGGCTTTAAAAGTTATATAGAAAAGTTATCATGATAAGTTGTCTATATATATTATTAAAAATATATTGACTAAGTTATGCTAATAAACTATGTCTCATAAAATATTATACATAAAAGTTGTGTGTATAATTTTTAACTTTCTATGAAAAGAAAGCTGTAGAAACAAATATTTTTTTTAAAAAGGAAAGTCGCGAAGTGCTGCAGAATTGACCGTCGTTAGCTGATTATTAGTGGAGCCGTGCGTGCCGTATCTTCTGGGTTCTGATGACTGCCAGTGGCCATCGATCCACCGTGGCGTGTGTTGCTGTATATGCACGCTTGGTCGAAGAAACACCAGAGGACCACGGGCTAATTAAGAAAGAAAAAAGTTTATTTTTGGCCTCCAACTATAAATGCAGTTTGTTTCTAGCCCTCTAACTCAAAAACTAAACACGCGTAGTCTCTTAATTCTCAAAACCAGTTAAAATTAACCCTCGCGCCCATTCGACCGCGGTTTCGGTCCAGTCAACCCGCCACGATCGCGGTTTCGGCCCAGTCACTCCATGTCTGACGAGCCGGGTCCACATCGCGAGCTTCCATCGTCTCGGTGCTTTCAGCCGCAGCCGAGGCTGAGGTCGAAATCGACGCCATCGGTAACCGCCTCAACGAGCTCCTGTCCAGCGCCTCGCTGTCGTCCTCCCACCACCCCCAGTCCCAAGCCGTGGCGGCACGCGCGCTGAGTGCGTGCATTGACCGCGCCGTCGCGCCGGCCGAGCCCCTCCTCGCGGCATTCCGCCGCGTGTCTGCGCTCGCCGAGGAGGCCGCGCCACCCACGAACCCGGGCGACGCCGAGAGTGCGGTCGTGTTCGTCGATCGTGTGGACCAGCTGCGGGACGCCATCGAGGAAGTGGTGGCGCGCGGCGAAGAGGCCGTCCGGAGGGTGAAGGAGGCGGTCGGTTTCCTGGGCCGGACCAAGAAACCACTGGGTCTTGCGTTGGGGAGAGAAGGGATGGTTTCTATCTTCTTCCCCAGATCCCGTGCGCTCACCTCCCGGCTACCGACGACGAGCTCCCCGCGCAGCAGCTCCTCATCCGCGGCTGCGGGCTCCTACTGCGCCGACGCCGACGCCGACGCCACACGCAGTGCTGAGTTCGAGCTGCCGCTGGAACAGGAATCGGAAGCACGTCGTCATTGTATAGGAAGGCGACGCGGACCAAGCGGACCAACAACAGACGGTGACGACCCTGCGGCCTCGACCACTGGACGCCATTGAGCTCCGGCTGTGGCCGCTCGACGCCGTGGAGGTCCAGTCGCGGCCTCGACGCCCGCCCTCCCCGCACAGCTGCTCGACGCCATGGAGCTCCGACTGTGACCGCTGGACGTCGTGGAGGTCCGGTCGCGGCCTCGACGCCCGCCCTCTCCGCGCAACTGCTCGATGCCATGGAGCTCTGGCTACGGCCGCTGGACGCCTGCCTCCCCGTGCGCGGCCGCTCGACACCGTGGAGGTCCGGCCGCGGCCGCTTCACGCCCGGCTCACGCGTCTCCCGGTGCCGACCCGCCTCGACGCCATGGAGGTTCAACCATGGCCCTTCTCCTCGTGCCGGCTCGCCCTCCCCACGCTGGCCCGCCTCGACGCCAAGCTTGCTCGTCTCCCTCCTCTGCGCACGGCGAGCGAGCTCGTATAGTCGCATATCTCGTCTCCATCTCCCTCCCCTGCCACACGGACGCTCGGGGTGCAGGGCAGCTATCTCTACGGGAGGCACAGAGGATCTGATATGGGGAGGGAGGATGATTCCTCAGACATGGAGACTAGGCTAAAACCGCGGTCGTGGCAGGTTGACTGGGCCAAAACCGCGGTCGAATGGGTGCGAGGGTCAATTTTAACTGGTTTTTAGAGTTAAGAGACTGCGTGTGTCTGGTTTTCGAGTTAGAGGGCTAGAAACAAACTGCAACCATAGTTGTAGGGCCAAAAATAGACTTTTTCCTTAAGAAAAACACTGGCCAACTTTGGTGAGATTGTCGTAGTTAGCCCAGCGGACGGTGAATCTCGTTTGTGTGAGCCACTGACTGACCTGATGGTTACTAGCTATACTTCCGTGCTCTAGTGAACCTGGCCGGGGATACTTACATCCTGGCTTCCGTCCCTTTCTGGTTTCTACCCCCGAGAAAACGAACGTGGGGGCAGTCAGGCGTGCATGGCCATGGGTAGGTTCCTCTCGAGCCACCAGACCCTAACCTCACCGCCCATCTAATAAGCTATCCACTAGCTGAAATAAAAACAACACATGCACAAAATCAATCGGGACCGATGAAGCAACATGTTATTATTTCAGGGACAATAATCAGAAAAGAAAAAGAATAAAAAAGAGAGATGATCCAATCAATCTGTGTCAAGGAACGACCTTTATATCGTTGAAGCTAGCGAAAGGGACGTGGGGAACGAAGGCAGCGAGAAACAAAAGATGGTCTTGGATTCCTCGTGATCGTGAGGAGCCTGCTTGCACCTCTCATGCGCTCTGGTCAGGTCAGGTTAGTTGGCCTGCCTACGAAAACGAAAACGAACGCCCAACCGGAGCGGAGGCTTAGCAGCACGAGGAAACAATCACGCATATGCATTCACGCATCGTCGACCGGGCCGCTGCTGCAAGCAAGCTTACATATATAGTAACATAATAACATATATGGGGACATATATACCTCATCGCTCTTATGAAAGTTCTTCCTCGTACATACGGCGCCGACGACGTCGTCAATAGCTTGACAGAGATCGAGTTTGTCAGGAACCATGGCGTCCGTTTGCAGCAGGCTGCCATTTCCGATCCTGGCAGTGGCGCGCATCTCCTGCTGCTTCCTGATCATGATGATGCCTGCTTGCTGCAGCTCAGGTCCCCGTTTCTTCGTCATGCTCTCCATCTTCTCTTTTGTTCTCTTGTACTAGTTTGTTTTTTTTTTCTTTCTTTCTACTAGTCGACCTGCGTGCATGCCGATTGCCGGCACACAGGCACACGGAGCACTGCGTCTCTGCATCTGCATCATATCACAGTAGTATCGCTGTGTCTGGTACGCACGCGCGCGCGGGCATCACGGTTCATTTGTTCATCATTTGTACGTGCGGAACTCATGTAGATGCTGGAGGAGGAGCAGCAGCGTTCCATGGCCAGAAGACAGACACGGTGGATATTGTCGGAAGAGCCCTGTTCTGCTTCAACGATCGCTACGTAAGTGTGTATATATAGTAGGAGTGTATATATGACAGATCGATCATCTCCCACTTGTACTCGTCATATAAGTTTTGACTTTTGAGCTTTCACTCACTCTTGTAATCATCATATGGCGTGCATACTGAACGCCGTTCTTGCTAACTGCGTGTCAAAAGATCTACAGCGGGTGCCAGGGCTCGTTCCGGCTGGGCCCCCACGGCGCGCTGGACGTGCCGCCGGGGTCGGCGGACGCCTTCTGCGGTGGGCCGTGCCTGCCGGAGACGGAGCTCGTGCTCCGCTGCGTCGACGGCATCATGGCCAATTTCCGCTTCTACTACGGCGCCTCCGCCGGCGACGTCCGCTTCGCGCTCGACCGCGGGTGCGGCCACTCGGGCCTCCGGGGCGACTTCGACGTGCTGCAGCGCATCGGAGCCGCCGACGGCAACTATGGCGACGGGTACTTCTACGGCCGCGGGGACGGCGCCCGCCGGTCCGTCAAGAATAATCTGGCAGCGGTGCTGCCGCTGCTGATGAGCGCGGCCACCGCGATCCTCGTCTGGTCGTGAGCGTGATCGGTCAAAGTAGGACCATACCAGGAAGTAAACAACTTCGGTTGCCGCACGCAGCAGTATAGCTTGTGTGCGATGCGAACTGATCGCGCTCTTCATCAGGTTTTTACATGTTTGATTTGACAATGTGAAGCTGTAGGACCTATTTGGTGGGGCACCTGTCGGCCGCCCACGGGCCGACAGCAGGCTACTGTTCACTAAAGCCGTTTTTCTCTCTCCTCCTTTCCTCTCTCACCGCGACCACCGGAGCCGGAGAAGCTCGTTTTCTCTCTCCTCCTTTCCTCTCTCACCGCGACCACCGGAGCCGGAGAAGCTCGAGAAGCTTTCCTCTCTCTCACCATGACCACTGGAGCTCGGGCTCGCTTTTCTCTCCTGGCTTTTCTCTCCTCGACCTCTCTCACCATGACCACCGGGCTGGAGAAGCTCGTTTTCGGAGCCCTGGCACCAAACAGGTTGTTCTCTGTTCCATGTTTGACTGTCCGGTGGTTGTTGTAAGTTTTTTTTGTTTGAAATTGTTATTTTTTATGGGGAGATGAAATTGAAGTATCGATTGTACCAGAACCTTTGGCAATCAGGATTTGACATGTTTCTGCTGAAATGAAATGGAACTGGAGAGAGTACAGAGTGGCAAAAGGAGGAATCAGGCTAAAAATGAGGATTTACAGAGGAAAAGTAGTTTTCCTTGCTCTGTTTCTTAGTGTCATCTCTCCAAGTATGTTCAAAAGGGAATTTAATCTCCAAGAACAAATTAAAGAACGCTATACCAACACTGAAATCACTGTTCTAGTTCTAGGAACGACTGTTTCTGATCTCCTTTAGGGGCGTTTGGATCCTTATAATTGAATTTATTCTAATAATTATAATTTAGGCATAGATTAATTAAGCTAATATAGTTATATATAGAATATATTTGTATATTTATTGTTAGACATACAAGAACATACTTATATGTTTTATTTCTATTGTAGGAAAGTGAGTTGAAGGGTGTGCTATAAGTTAAAGAATAGAATTATATCATAGTGATCTATAGAATCCATTTCCATCTCCCACCCTATGAATTTGAGATTGGTTTATTTGTGAAATGGGAATGTTATGGAATATCAAATTCCAAGCCAAATAGCCTAATCCATTATGTAGATTTCAATTCCTCCAAAATAAAAGATCCAAACGGCCCCTTAGCAAATTCAGTGATGTCAAATACTTGTGTTATAAAGTTCCTATACATATTTTACTGGAGTTTTCCCCGCACCATTAGAACTGCCATGTCAAAACAAATGCATGCCCAATTTCAGCGAAAGGAACACATGAGTACTATGCATTGTGGTGCAGTTAAGGGTGGAACTAGAACAAATGCAAGGGGACGTGCTTGCCACATTGGTGTCTAGATTTTTAACGTAGAGTGTATATAATGAAAATTCGATCATAATCACTGTTTTTTGTTTTTGCATGGGTGGGTCCGCACCCCCTTCACCCGACATAGATCCGCCCCTGGGCGCAGTGCACCCATTTAACATTTTCATCATCAATAGCGTTGTTTGCTGTGTTTAACATGAATACATGATATATCACTGGGAGTTATGTTTTTGTCCAATGGCCACATATGTAATATATAAAAAGGAAAATCGCAGGACATAGGTACGATAAATGACTATTGACACGTTTGAAACTGCCAAGGTTGTCTTATGATATAGCCCGTAATGGTTTATGACATGTACTAAGGGGTGTAATGCATCGTTTGCATTTAATTTCAAGGATATTTCTACAGGAATTTGATCTCCATGAATAAACTAAAGGACCACTAACATGTCAATTAGACTGGTAGCTGTTAGTTTAATTTAGCTTGTCTTTACCAATTAGTGAGCTAGTTGTCAATTAGAGTGTGGACTAAAAAGTCCGTCCATTAATCCATCTCTTTGTTGGATGGTCTAGGACTAAATTTTAGATAACTATATATAAAAACTTTGGTTTTGATATCAGGTGGTCTTTGTAGATTTTTAACTTTAACATTGTGAGACATTACGGAAACCCTTCTAGTTTGCAACTGCCTGTTTGAATGGCGCCTAGGGACAGGGCATGCGGCCGCGCCGAAAGTTGGGCGACCAAATGGGCCGCCACACATTTGGCGTGTTTGGGTCTAAAAATAGCTTGCATGCATGCTGATAAGCTGAGGCAGCGCCAGAACTCCGAAAACAAAGCAAACGCTGACTGAAGTGAGGCGTCGAAGGTGCGGCAGGTTTTGGCAGTGTTGGGGAATGAACCAAACAGGCCCTAAGTTCTTCTGCCATAACAATAGTTACATTTATGCGTTCCAACATTATGCACCATTATCTCCACCGATTTCCATAGTTTATTGACCTATTTTAAGAGGATGTAACATCAAACTTATAAATATCATTCCAGAAAATTTAGATTAGTATGGAATAGAGTCACTTCTATAGATGGGTTTATCTATCGGTATGAGGTATACCGGTTATTTCAGTTGATACGGAATTAATATGCTTGTAAGAGCAGTAGTTCCTAAAAAATAAGTTGGTAAATCAATGAGTTTTTAAGTGGCTGGAAAAAGTTGAGAGCATATTTGTTGGCTCCTCCAATAGTTTTTAAAATCTCGCTCCTAAAATATAAAAATATAGAAGGAAATTTTGCATAAAGACTCTCGGACTATTTTTAAATTACACCAACTATTTTTATGTTTTATTTGTCTCTTGTACACTTGTATTAGGAATCATGTCCTTCTCTTTATTCCTCTCCCCGTTCTTCCACATCTAGATTGGCCGACTAATATGTGCGCGTACATTTCCACATTGTTAGGTCCATTTTTCCAAGTGCGAAAAGATTGTGAGTTGTTGGACAACGTTAGTTTTCAATCTTATAAAAAAATATCAAGATTGGGAGTGAGTTTTGGAACTCTTGAAGATGCTCTGGATCTCTTTCCTTCCTACTCCGTATATCCACTCCAAAAGAAGACAAGAGGGTGTTGTAAAAAAAAAAAGACAAGAGGGATAGTAAAAAAAATGAAAAATGGAGATAAAGCTTTTGGCGCCAAAAGTGTGCGGATTAGAGGTGCCTTTGGCGCCATCCGCATTTCGCAAGGGCACTCCGGTAATATCTCCTTCGGCGATTTTGCAACTCAACGGGGAATATATCCATCACAGGTACCCCCCACACCGGCGCCGCCTCTTTCCTCTCCCGTCTCTTCCGTTCGGTGAGAGCCCAGCCCACTCCGCCGTCGCCGCCCGCGAGAGGAGTCCGCTTCATCCGTTCGCCGCCTCAAGGACGGTAAGGCTGGCCGAAATGCTCGATCTTCTTCCTCGTCTGATTCGTGGTAGTAGCTGCGGGGATTTAGGGGCGGGATCGAGACCGTGATTTCTTCAGGCGCCCCAGTTTTGCTAGGGTTTTGTCTCAATGGCCGAGCCTTGCTGCTCCCCGATTCCATGGTCGGGGGAGCGAATCCCTAGCCCAAATCCCGATCTAATGATTGGCGCCGCCATTCCCGCGGAGGAAAGAGGTGGGAGCGGGGTTGGGCGTAGAGAAGCCAAGCGGCGCGGATTGGACCATCAATGATTGACCGCAGGTTGTTAAGAATTGAAACTCCCCAGGCTCTGTGTAGTTTGCTGCATGGGAATTTTTTTATCGAGATTTACAAATCGGTGCCTCTTGTGATCCCAATCTTACATGCGGGGTATGGAGAAACTGTCTTAGAAAGTGTTATAATGTTTCGCCTTAGCCTGTACAGGATAGGTGACTGTGATACTCACCAGCAGATTGTATATGCTTACTCATTATGCGTATTACATGTTTTTTCCTAGGCCACCTACTGTATTTTGACAAGCATGTGTTCTTGTACAAAATGTCTTGCAGTAATTTCACAGTAATTATGTTAGCAGAAATTCTGAAGCTGTTTCTTGAGAATTTTTAGGCATTATTACAAATATTATGGTATCACATCCCTAATGCCCAAAATGATTATCTCAGGCTGAATGTATATTGTAACCCACTCACAAGTCACATTGCCAACCAAAACTCTAGTACATGTTTTGCAGTAGAGATCCTCTCCAAGCACTTATTCATCGTACTGCAATCTTTGATATGGTGTTTTTTGTGATAGTGACTAGAAGAGGTGTGGAATTTATTTGCTTCAGTGTTTGCTAGATGATTGTACTGAATTACATTGAATGACCTGAAATTCTGAATCCTCACTTTGCAGAGATGGACACATCAAGCCCTGCAGCACTTGTCAATGCAGAGATTCTGAACATGTTTGTTGGCCGAAGAGTACGCACGGTTGTTCAAGTCCAATGCAATGAAGGTGGAGTGCTTGTCGGGCAGTCCAGTGATGGGCATCAGTTGAGCATCAAAAGCGCCATGGACGTCCCTGTATCACACTTTATGGAGGTTTATGGAATTGCTGAAAACAACCAGACCATCCGTGCTGAAGTTTGCACAGATTTTGGTCCCAACTTTGGTGAGATTTCAAATGCCTTTGGCCCTTTGATTGCAATAGTATGAACTGTTAGTATATTCTGAGTGCTACCATACCATGGTTTAAACTCTCCCACATCCAAGCTTGCCAGCTCTTATTTCATTCGATGTCATAAGAAGATTGTAGTATACCCAAGCCCCTGATGTACACCAATTTAACCATGTAATATCAGTGAAAATTTTGAGTTTCACCCTCCTAATGAGCCATCGGCTACTATTTTGCCCTCCCTTATGGTATTATTTTGCTTGGCCCCTGCCCTTAACATATGAACATCAAGGAGCAACTGAGCAAGTAAACAAGAAATAATCTTTGTCCCCTTCTTTTCTGAACTTGTCAGCCTGTCAGGTAGTGCCTGGGTTTTTCCTAATCGGATGAGCAAATATCTGTTTTCCATTTGGAACTTGAACTTATTTTCTTAGAACATCAAAGAAGCCTAGGAGATTTTCCTGTTTACACAAATTACAGATTAAGAAACCCGGGAGGAGGGAAGAGAGGGAGGGAGGAGAGAGAGAGAGAGAGCCAATTTTTAAAACTGCTGTTAGTATCTGGACATTTAGGAATTGGATTTATAATTAGATGTTGGGTGCTCCTTGAACTACAGCAAAATTGACTCCCATTGTTACAAGGAATGGGCATCTTATTTATTTTTTCGCGTCTCCAAGCCACATTTACACGGTTTGTTCTATCCCCAGATGGCGATAAGTATGCCTCTGAGATCAATCATGATCTTAGAATGCGTTTCAGGATGAGAAACATGTTATCTGGCAGGGACTTTAATCATGCTATCCTCCATTGACAATGAGAGTAGCTTATTATGGCTTAAAGTTGTGTAGAAATATTCTTTTTACACTTGAGATGCAGATAAATTTCTTATACTTAGACCTCTCTTCTATGCCATGCCTTGCAGCAACAGCTTTAATTACACAGCATCCATACTTATTTTCCCCTATATCCATAACACCATTGGTTTTTTTTCACCATGTTTATCTGGCAGATCCCAAGCCTTTTGATCAATTGTGCAAGCTGGCGAGTGACAAGTTCAAGCACATGTTCCTGTAGAGGTCATCATCACATGGAAGACCTTTGGCCAACTGAAGCTTGTTTGAAATTGATATGATTCGCCTCTAAATGTTCCTTCACTCACCCCAGTATTATGTTAAGTATTGGACTCCTATTGGTATGTATTAACCTAAGCAACATACTACGAAGACAAGCAAAATATATCATGTAGTTGAAGAACGTATGTTGTTTTCTACTTTTAGGCAATCCAAATCTAAGCTTGTTATGTTGCTGTCACTTGCATTTGGACCCTGAGAAGTTGCTACAATGGCCATGCTGCTTGATGAGAGGAAAGAGTTCTAATGTGCTAGTAACATGCCCCATCTGAAAATTCAAGCTTTAATGATGTCTGCAAGATCCACCTTAGTCAACCTGAACCCCACTATTCAGTTCATTATTGGGTTTAAGGCTTGAGATTTAATTTTTTGTGTGCATGGTTCTGCAAATGCGTACCTGAATCTACTGTGTCCATTATGGCTACTCGGTAGCAGGCAGCAGGCTATATGCTGCTGAAGCTTTGCTTGGTTGTTGGGGTTTTCTTGCAAGTTCAAGAGCATTGTTTGCACAGCGCTGAGATCAATGGCTGATAGTGTTAGCTAGTTTGGTGTGAGACTGGAGAGCTGTGAAAAATGGCTCTTTCCATTTGGATTCTCAATATTTGGAATACCAAAGCCAGTGCCAATTAAGGAACATTTGTTCTTCTGTTATCGCTGAACATATTTTCAGTTGCGAAGCATTTTCCCTTAATTTTTTAGGATGCCGAACGATTCCTATGTACAAATGCTTTGAAGTTTGAACACTACCATTCAAAGCCGCTTGTTGCTTAACAGAGTGGATGTATTGGTAGCATATTGCTTTCTGATACCTATAAAAGTGTAATCTTTTGACTGCGACATCCCATCTTTCTCCTGTGTGCAACAAGAACAAGGCCTTGTTTAGTTGGCGAAATTTTTTAAGAAATGGTACCGTAGCACTTTTGTTGTTATTTAGTAATTAATGTCTAATCATAGTCTAATTAGGTTTAAAAGATTCGTCTCGTGAATTTCGTTTAAATTATGTAATTACTTTTATTTTTTATTTATATTTAATGCTTCATGCATATGCGTCTAAAGATTCGATGTGACGGGGAATCTTGAAAAATTTTGCAAAATTTTAAAACTAAACAGGCACCAAATCCAAGAGACAACAAAAATGTCTCTTTTGTACTCGTTAGCTTAAAGTCCTTCACTTGCCGCTGTCCAGTCCTGTAACAGTTTTTTAATGTTCAATGGTTCGACAAGGTTCAGGTTGTGCCTTTCACGTTGCCTTTTCATGACTACTGTACACAATATATGAAGTCTGGAACTGGTCTAATTGGTTATAGATATGGAGTTTCTGAACCTTTCTCCTCCATAGTTTCTGATCGTCATTTGTGGGATGATTGCTAGCCTATTAGATAAAAGTCAGTAGTATCATCATTTGTATAATAAGGGGGTGTTTGGCACGGCTTTTTTTGAGGGGCTCCTCTAAATGAGACATAGCCGTTTTAGAGAAGCCACGATCCTCTTTTTTTTTTTTTCTAAAAAAAACAGCTTCTTCAAAAAAACGTTTGGCAGGGCTCTTCCACAGTAAGGGAGCCAGAGAGGAGCCCTGCCAAACAGACCCTAAGTTATCTTCAAAGCTGTTATATATAGGTCATCTCGCTTAATTACCAACGAATCAATCAGTTAAGGGTTCTAAATTTTCACCAAATTTTTAAAAACAAGAACAAATGGAGTTTCTTAAGGATATCCATCGTACGCCAGACAAATATATAGCTGTAGCGTTTGTTCCCATTAAAATGGAAAAAGGCACTTGTACTCCATATATTATAACATACCATGGAAGAGAACAAAATATGCAGATTCCATACTTGTTTTCTGTCTCATATAGTAATAGATAAGCAGTGTAGTTGAAATCGAATCATTTCCCTGGAACGCCTGCAATTTCTCATAAAGTGCCGTGGAATGAGGCATAATCATGGCGTGATTTCTGGCCTAAACACACCTCTTTGTTCTTCTGTCTGGTTTTGGTTTTCAGCGGGAGGGAGAGGATGCATGGACTTGGCGAGCCCGTAGCCACGGGCCCCGAAGCCCAGGCACCCGAGAACCAGGCCCTGCCGGTACGGCAGCGACGTGGTGCGCCGAGCACTGCCGCCGCCCGGCGCCCTCTTCGGCGCCGTCGGCACCGCCGGCTGTGGCGCTGGGCCTGGGCAGGACAGCAGCGGCGACTTCTTGCACGAGCGCGACGGCCAGATGGACGGCGGCCAGAAACCCAACCTGCTGCTAGTGACCTCGGCGCCCGCGGTGCCTGATGATCCGCCCCCGCGTAGTCGCCGCAGCGACATCCGCCGTCGAATATTCTTCGCCGAGGACGAGTGTAACACCCCAGGCACACGGCACAGGTCCACTCTACCGAGAGATGGCCCCACCTACGCTGGAACTCGCTTGTGTTTTCGTCCTCGCGTAACTCGTGTGAACAGTGACTGAGCAACAGTGCTGCGCCGCTACCGTCTTGGACCACAGTCCACACGTGCAGTTATAGTGTCTCGGCTTAATCGGAATTATGCCTATATTAGTCGGAGATGTTACAATCACCCCCCTTAGGTTTCGACTTCTTGTCGAATGTCACACTAGCTTATCCTATTCGGGATTAATGCTCAGGATCGACTCTCTTGGCCCACGTTCATATTCTCAACTTCCCGGCCCAAGTGTCATGCTCTTGCAGAGCCAAGCGCAACCTGTCCGAGCTCCCGAGCCATATGTCCGTGAAACCGTGAGAGTTGGCTCTAAATACCATTTGTAACACCCTAGGCCCGGCACACGGCACATGCCCACTCTACAAAGGGGTGAGCCTCACCTACGTAGCAACCCGTTTGCGCTTTCGTCATCGCTTCACGCAAAACGGTTAACCGAAGGTTACTACGCGTCCTTGGCCTAACAATTTAAGTCGGTCTGGCCGTCCTACACTCTACTAAAGTCTGGGTGCACAGTGTTTCGTGGTGCTACAGTACTTGCGTGAGCAGTGGCTGAGCAACGGTGTTGCGCCGCTACAGCCTCGGACCACAGCCTACGCGCGCAGTTACAGTGCCTCGGCCCAACCGGAATTCGGTCTATTTAGGCAGGGGCGTTACAACGAGGAAGAAGACGAGGAGGAGGCGGACGCGAAGGGGTCGAACGGCTCTGCTGCGGCGCCCCTGGGGCTCCGCGTCGGGGAGGCGGACCTAGCCCGACGAGTAGCCCGCGGCGAGCGTCCGTCCCGCTCCCGCTCCTCCTCGTCGTCGCCGCCGCCGCCGCAGTTCTCCCAGCTATCCTCCTGTCGGATCGGGGAGAGGTTGCCGACACGGATGCGGCCGGCGACGAAGAGCTCCTCAGCCGAGCTCATCATCGCCACGGCCCCCTTGGTGCCGGGGCTGCCGTGCGTCCCCGCGCCGTGAGCGGCGAACTCGAAGTCCCCTGTGGCGGCGGCGGCCGCACAGCAGTCGGCATCAGCGCAGTAAGGGGACGAGGCGGCGGCGGTGGAGGAGGGCAGGGAGCGGAGGATGTAGTGCACGGGGCTCGCCGGCGCGCTGAAGAAGAAGTAATCACGGTCAGACGTCGCCTTGCATCTTCGGCGAAGGAAGGGCAGCGCCAGTGGTTCGAGACTGGAGAGAGAGGATAATCACGGTCAGACGTGCGGGGTTTTGGCTAGGGTGATTGGTGAGAGCATGGAGTGGGACGGAGGGAGGCAAGCGGGCGGGGCTGGCTTGATGGTGATTGGACTGAGGTGCATGGAGTTTTGTGAATTTGGGGTCCGGCATGGCAAAATTGTTTAAATTTACGTGTAAATTAGACGGGAATGGTTTGATCGTGCGCTTCACTTCACTAGTGAAGCCATAACTTCCCATGGACTCACGTTCGCTCTGCAGAGTTTTGTGAATTTGGGGTCCGGCATGGCACAAATTGTTTAAATTTACCGCATAAATTAGTCGCCAGTCGAGTATTTATTTGGAACGTGTAAGTGGTAGATTATCGTACGTGCTGGCTGCACACTGACGCATTTTTGCTCATTTTAGGATCGTCGTCCAGAGGGCCACTCCACATCACACGGCTACTATCACGCGCGCATGCACGTCTGGACGGGAGCAAGAGCTAGCAATTGATGATACCGCGCCAACGAAGGATTCAAAAAAAAAAATCCAAGCAATAGCTCGTAAATCAAAGCGACCTTCGTTTGCTCGTATAAAAGGCGATTTATTTTTTTTTTCAATTTTTCGTTAAACCCCAGCAAGAAGCAACACGGCTCGCTTAATGAGCGATCATCGCAAAGATTAATCTGCCCGTGGGATCGTGATTGACGCCCCGGGCGGGTCAACAATTAATTAATTTCCGGGTTCTAATCATCATCGAACCACGCGTTTGCTTCTCTGTTTGTTCGGTAGACTCTGGGATACATCATACATGAACGTGAGCAGCACCAGTACACGATAGATAGGCAGATGGCTAGTCTCCTGGAGTCCTGGTTGGATAGAACCGGCCGGGGAGTGGCGACGACGAAACGAGACGACGCATAGCTAGTAGCGATGGAACGGTGACCGGCCGGTTTCGTAGTGGGCGCCCGACCCACCACACAAGTGCTCTCGCGATCCTTTCCTATGACAACAAATCAAAAAAATGCATACAAGATCAAAGAAAAATATAGATACATGATGCAACAATCTATTTTATAATTGAAATTCTAAAAGTAGAAGAAAATCTTGTGTAAAGAGACACGAAAAAAAAAACCAGCATGTGAATTGGTGTGTCCTTAGGGCAGCTCTAACAATCGATCGAGTTTTAAACTAACTCTAAGTATTTTTTTATATTTTAATAGAAGAGAGAGAAAAAGCTAGGCATTTACGGTTGACCTTTAAAGTCTGTTTTCCATTTTATGACTTCTTCCGATGTACTCCTACCGTTGACAATATACACGACTCTCTCTTTACATTTGTTTATTGTCGGCAAGATAAAAGTAGTTATGAGGCAGCTGTTTCAGCTTTCCGGGAGACTCTGAAGCCCCAACTAATAAACTTGGCCAAAGTACACTCCTTGGATTGCAAGGCCGAAAAGGAAGGGGCTCCTGCATGCCTTTGCCTTTGTCGGTTTTCGCTTCAAGAAAGAAAAAGATTATGAATCCAAGAAAAAAGTCCATTTGGATTTGCATGACACGCTCGATGATTTCGGGCCTTGTCGGCTTAATGGCGATGCGGCCGGCATGTTTACCGGCCGCCTGCCGATTAAGCGTACTCAATCACATCCCCTAGCGATCTCTAAGCGATCGACACGGAATACATAATCGAAACCACTTGTAATTAGCTCGCCACTTTATATATGGTTCCGTGTTTCCCTTTTGTTATTAATTTCTTGATCGTTATGGTTGTATATATATTCTTCCTCTATTTATGTAGACGAGTGCAGAAGTACGTGCAGCTCTCTTGCGCATTCTCGAGGAGGAATCGAATGGTTCTTTCCTGGCAAAGAAAAAAAGGGAATCGAATGATTATGAATAAATAAGCAGAGTTTATTTCGTGAAGGCTGAATACAATACGCTGGTTGTTGGAGGTCAGGGTTAGATTTTGTTGGAACCTACCATCAGCCTCCACATCCAGGAGTGTACATGGCAACTGCTGGTGTAGTGATGCTCACGTCCTCTGGAAGCTAATCAATCACGGTGTGGGCCATAACTGAGAGGATAAAAATAAATAAGGTAGCAGCAGCAACAAACTCATCTCTATCCTCACAAAATATGAGAAGGGAAGTCGCACAGAGTAGACTACTGACAGCAGCGCTCAGTTAAAAATTTGGTAGTTAAAGGTCAGATCAGTAGTGACTACTGATAGTGTTTCGATAAATCAGAGGTTTTCTGATGTGGCTGTGAGCCTGTGAATAGTAGTAATGTGACGCGTGGAGCTTGAGGTTTTGTCCTGGCCAGAAGCACCGCTGTTCGAGTGAAGTTAGAGCTGGGCCCATGGAACTATGCAAGACTACCTGAAAGGCTGAAACAGCATCCGGAGCAGGAGCAGTTGACGATCTTGTTTCTTTTTGGGCCGGCCCGCCCGTAATCTTAGACCAAGCTCCGGAGTGAATAGGCCAATTGGGTGTATTTGGTGGCTTTAGCACCTATAGCTAGGTCTTCAGAATGCAAATTTCGCATGTTTGGTTGTCTGAACGGGCTCCTAAGCCAGGGCTAACTAGTGCAAATGAAAGGCCCTTAGGTAGGCTTCGGGAGCCCAGGCAATGAAACATTCGGCGCATCCCTTCGACTCGCCTAGAAGGGACTGGTGGTCAGACCTCGTCGAAGCAGAGTTCGCCAAGACGGCCCGCGTGCATTTGTCTGGGCTTGTGTCCTCGGAGGCGCACGTCTTGGATGACCACTCCGGTCCAGAGACGGCTCTCACAGACAATGACAATGTATCTGTGGGTGATGATGATGTGGGGGACGTGGCAGCAGACGGTAACGGGGGGATTGATCCTGAAGATGTTCATCCTAACCCGATGCAATTGCAGCTTGAAGCGGCGGTCTGTATCCCGTTTCAGACACCGCTTGTCAGCCGACGGCCGCGGCTCCGCAGGGCCCGCTCGCCGATATCTGTGCACTCACTTCGTCGGAGTGGTCGGATCGCAGCGAGGCCGCGTGCTGGCAACGCAACGGCACAGGCACAGCGAGTGTTGCTGAAGAAGCTCGGTGTTGCAGTGGTAGAGGAGGAAGCGAACGTCGAAGTAGAGAAGAAATTTAAACTGGCATTCGGGGGGAACATGTCGCAAAGGAAGCAGCACGCCTTGCAGTTGTTCCTCAATGAAGGGATCGATCTAACGGCGATGAACCTAGACCTCGAGGGTCTGGAGGAGGGGGCTTGAGCATGGCCACCCCACCTCGTCAGAAGCACAACTCGGTTCCATCATGTTACACCGAGGTTTCCTGGTTTGGAACGTGCGCGGCCTCAACGAGCGTGCACGGCGCAACGTTCTGCGCGAACTGATCATCGCTCAGCGCCCCTCAATTTGTGTTCAGGAGACCAAGCTCTCCAACATCTGTAATGCAACTGCATTGGAGTTCTTAGGTCCGCCTTATGACTATTTGTTTTTGCCTGCTGTTGGGGTTGCTGGTGGAATCCTTCTAGCCTGGGACAGGGAGATCTGGCAGACCTCACTGCCGAACCTGGGTTGTTTCAGTTTGGCGGCAACTTTTCAAATGCAGGGGGCTTTGCCCAGCCCTTGGAGCTTTGTGGGCGTTTATGGGCCGCAGGAAGATGATGACAAAGTGGACTTTCTTAATGAACTAATGCAACTCAAGAATGCCGCACCCCCGGACCTGATGGGCTAACTGGTCTCTTCTACAAATCTGCGTGGGAGGTGATCAAACCGGACATCATGAACGCGTTACATGCTTTCTGGTCGCTGGATCACCGCAGCTTCCATGCTGTTAACGAGGCGTTCATGGTGCTACTCAAGAAGAAAGACCACTCCAACGAGATTTGTGACTATCGTCCCATTAGTCTTATGCATAGTTTTGGCAAGCTCATAACGAAGTGCCTGGCCAACAGATTGGCGACTGTTCTAGGAGATCTGGTCAGGAATAATCAGAGTGCGTTCATCAAGGGCCGAAGCATACATGACAATGTTAGGGATGTTCAACTCACGTGCAAATCCTTGCACAAATTGAAGATGACCTGTGTTTTGCTCAAGGTGGATGTGGCCAAAGCGTTTGATTCGGTTGCATGGGTTTTCCTTCTGGAGGTGCTACAACATATGGGCTTTGGGCTGAGATGGAGGAACTGGATGACTATGCTTCTGTCTACGGCAAGAAAAAGGATTCTCCTCAACGGCAAGCCAGGCCAGAGGGTGTGCCATGCTAGGGGGCTACGGCAAGGAGACCCTCTGTCGCCGATGCTGTTCGTTTTGGTCATGGAGGTACTCAACTCCTTCCTGACTTGGGTCGAAGAACACGGTTACCTCACACCGCTAGCTGGAATTCCAGGGGCCAGAGTCAGTTTATATGCCGATGACTTGGTCATTTTTGTAGTCCCATCTGAGAGTGATTTGTTGTCAATCAAAGGAGCCTTGTCCATCTTCGGCCTTGCCTCTGGGCTCTTCTCCAACCTCGACAAAAGTATGGCTACACCAATTCACTGCTCCGAGGAAGATATGGACAGAGTGCAACGCATTCTTGCTTGCAAGATAGTACCGTTCCCATGTCGCTACCTGGGAGTGCCACTTTCGGTGCACCGGCTCAAGAGAGCGGATGAGCAGGCTCTCATTGATAAAGTGGCTGCAAGAATACCAGCTTGGAAAGGTAATCTTCTAAATGCTGCTGGACACACGGAACTTGTCAAATCCACCCTTTCGGCCATACCTGTACACACTTCCATCGCCTTGTGTCTTTCAACGTGGGCAATTGAGATGATTGATAAGCTACGGAGGGCTTTTATTTGGGCTGGCACAGACACTGTGGCGGGAGGAAAATGTAAGGTGGCTTGGCTCAAGGTGTGCCGACCCAAAGTGCTAGGTGGACTCGGTGTCACTGACTTGAGAAAGGCAAGGGTTGCACTCCGAGTTCGCTGGGTGTGGAAGGACAGACTTAGCGGCCGAGCGTCGGCGTCTGGAGAGCATGCTGTGCTGGCGCTCTTTCATGCCGCAACGCTGCACCGCTTGGGGAACGGTCGATCCACGTTCTTCTGGACGGATCGTCGGCTCAATGGTAGCAGCTTGGAGCGCGAGGCACCTACTGAGTTTGCTGCAGTTGGGAGGAGGCGTCGACGAGCAACGGTGGCGGAGGCCCTGTCCGAAAATGCCTGGGTGCGTCACATCCGGGGGCCTGCTTCTATGCAGATGCTGCTGGACATATCACGTATCTGCGACCTCCTGGAGGAGGTGCAGCTATCGCTGGAGCCAGACACGTTCTGTTGGACGCCCTCGCCGGACCAAAGGTTCTCTTCTGCCTCAGCTTATGGAGCAATGTTCTTTGGATCCTCCACGGTCTTTGGTGCAAAGTTCATCTGGAAAACACCTGCCCCGCCAAGAGTTCGCTTCTTTTACTGGCTAGCCATGCACAACCGCTGTTGGACCGGGGATCGCCGCTTCCGCCATGGTTTGCAAGACTCAAACCTTTGCATTTTCTGCGATCAAGAGCCTGAGACCCTAGACCATATCATTTTGGGTTGCGGTTTTAGTAGAGAAGTGTGGCTCATCTGCTTGTCAAGAGTACACATCAATCTGGATGGCTACTGGGGAGCTCGGGCCATGGAGTGGTGGATTGGCAACAGAAAGCTCGTCCCGAAGTTCTTTCGCAGGGGTTTCGACTCCTTCGTTTTACTGCTTGGGTGGAGCTTGTGGAAGGAGCGGAACCATAGGACGTTCCAGGCTGGTGCAACCTCGCCGCCAAGGCTGGCCATGTTGATCAAGGAGGAAGCGGAGAGGTGGTGTGCGGCCGGGAACGCCCACCTCTCTAGGCTGCTCGCGCGTGCTTCAGCTTGAGCGCCGCTGTGCTGGTAGCTATCTTTTGTAACAATGTAGCGTCTTACCTTTGGATCCGGTAGTACTAGGTGGCTTGGTAACGTTTTTTGTTACCAAGTTTCTGTTACCTTGTTTTCAAAACTCTTATCTTCTTAATGAAATACGCGCATAAGCGTGTTCTCAAAAAAAAAAACAAGACAATCGGATTAAAAGGGCGGTTCTCTTGAAGAACGGAATATATGCACTAGGAAAGGTGCCACGATGAGCACGGATGGGGTACTTTGTAGTTTGTACGTGTACCCTCTCCGAGGATAACTGCACGGGATCGGGACTACAGCTGTACTCGTGCCGCAGGCGGGCCAATTGAGCACGGTGCTACACTTACACGGCTAACAAATTGCTCTGTGTTTATTCTGTCACCACACTGTCTGTATGCTCAGGAGCAGGAAGGCACCCCCGCAAGTCCCCGCAAAGCAAAAGCGCAAAAGGCGCGCACTGCCCGATCGCGTCGTAGCGCCTTCGTCCCTTTCCCGGAAAAAAAAAAGCACGTCCCGCAGCTAGGCGGCAACGGCGACGACGGCCCCCTCCCTCCGAGCTCGGGCCGTGCCGTGCCGCGGCTAAAGGAGAAGATTAAAGAAGCTCCGGGTGGGTGAACGAAAGGTGAAAGCGAGGAATCGGACTGTCTCCTCCAGCAAAGGCACGGGGAATTCCACGCTCCCCCACTGTGGATTATATTCCTCCCGTGCTGCCGCGCCCAAGCTACCCTCGCTGCTCTCGGCGCTATACGTACAATTCCTTCCTCTCCGCCGGTGCAACGCTCGCGGCGTGCGCATCTCCTCCTCCAGCCGCATCCACCCCGCAGCTGTCGCCTGCAAGCATAGTAGCTACCCGTGCCCGACGACTGCCCGTGCACCGCCAACGAGCCATTGTTGCCTAGCTAGTCAGACGGCCGAGCGAGATAGGGTGGTAGCAGGTTCAGTGCCCGTCTCATTGTTGTTTCATCCATGTACGCGGCGCCGACGACAGCGACGATGCCGCCGGCCGTGACGCACGACGACCTGTCGCTGCGCAAGGCGCAGGAGCGGCGCGCCGCGCGGTCCGGCGGCCAGGTCGCCGTCTCCCTCGTCGCGCTCTCCGTGCTCTGCGGTCCTCGTCGCCTTCATCCTCTGCCTCGCCGCCGAGGGGTCGCGCTCAGAGGCACGTGTCCATCATGCACGTCGTCTAAAGCCACGTTAGCTGGCGGCTGGCGCTGCAAGTTCATTCATCCCTCCACCCGTTGCTGACGCATGTGTGGCGCTGCCTGCCTGCCTGCAGGTGTCGCACTACCTCATGACCGTGGGCGGCAGCCAGGAGCAGCTGGACGTGTGCATCTACAACAGCAGCGGCCGCCTCGCGCTCGCGTACGCCGTCGGCGCCTTCATCCTCCTCGCCGTCGCCATGTTCGCGGAGCACGCCTACATGCTGGTCGCCGTCGCCGCCCCGGAGTCCGCCTCCCCCGGCCTCGCCGTCGCCCAGGACCACCCGCGCGTCGCGTCCACCGCCGCCGCGCTCACCTGGCAGACCGGCTGCCTCTTCTTCCTCACGTCGTAATTAATTAATGACGACAGTCACTCTCAACTCCCATCAAAATTAGAATTATTTGACGCCCTGGCCACCGAAACGCAACAATGTTTTCTGTGTCCCCCGCGCGCAGGATTTGCTTCGGGCTCGCTGAGGTGATGCTCATGATCGGCATCGCCGTGGAGTCCGGCCACATGAGCGACTGGCGGAAGCCGCGGCCCGTGTGCCACCGGGTGCGCCCGGGGATGTTCGCGGCAGCGGGCATCCTGGGGCTCATCACCGTCGTCGTCGGCTTCGTGGGCTACATCACGGCCGTGCAGGCGCAGCGCCTGCGGGGACAGCAGTACCACCACGGCGGCGGCGGCCACTTCGTGGGCTACGGCGCTCCCCATCCGGGCGCGCAGCACCAGCACCTGCGCCCGCCGGTGCCGCACCCACACGGGCCACACCCTCATCCGGTGCCGTCCGCGCCGGAGATAACGGCGGCGCCGTGCCAGGTGCAACCCAGCCGTGCGTCTCTCATCACCAAGGAGGCCGCCGACGTGTGAAACGACTGAAACACCAACGTCATCACTCATCAGACAGCGCAGAGACAAGAGCACCTCGCCGCCACTACGGCTATATTCTTTGCCTTCTTTGTTCATTGGATTGGAATACAAGCAGCTAAGCACCGAGATATTTCTTTGTAAATGTCAACAAAAAACCCATAATATCGTGGAGTGGAAATAGGTTGGATTTGAGTTGTAAAGGGCCATGTTCCATGTACCAACCTTTCTGTTAAAAAAAAAAAATCGGATAACTCAAAATTGAATTTGGCATCAAAACTTCGGCTTTATTTTCACGACAACGTATCAGGTGCAAATCAACTAACCTATGTAAACTTAAAAACTACCAATCAGGACTACTAGATGCTACCTGAACCACTAAATGCTAATCCAATAGATAGGGTGAGAGGTAAGATTTTTTTACGCTTAAGTCCCCCACCCACTAGCCTTTTTTTTGCACTTAAGCTCCCTCACCCTATCCATTGGATCAGCGTATAGTAGTCCTGATTGATAGTTTTAAAGTTTACACAGAATAGCTTGTTTACACCTGATATGTTATCTTATTTCACACCCACAAATTTTTGCACCAAGCGCCAACAATGCAAACAGCTTTTTGGAAGCCATTAATATAGGCTCAACAGGTTGGATTAACCGTAGTAAAGCAAGGCCGAGCAATATACTCAAACCATTAAACGTTTACAGCTCCGGACAAACTACAACGCAGACCACTCCTGAGGAACCTCAAAACCAAACCACTCAGGAATGTCTTTCGGCCTTGCAGACGATTGGACTCAGGCTAGACAGTAGCCAGATATAACACAACTAAATGACAAACCCTAGAAAGTAACCTTCTAAAAAAACCGAGACTCTGATGTTCAACGATTATAATCCTGTTACAGACCCTGCGATATTGATATCCATGACTCGCTTGGGAACAATGCTAACCTATCTCCCTCGGAATCTTGAGCTTATTGAACCCAGCACAAACCATTATCCCACACATGGAATCGACCACATTACATTGTCAAGACAAGCCAAGCTCATCGCCGAGGGAATTAACGCCCTTTTGGTTAAAGACTGCAAAAAGGAATATCAGGACCATTAATCCTTTGCAGAAACAATGAACCGCAAGTCCAACAGATTGGACGTAATTAAAATATTCTATGATGAGCATGGTAAGGCTGGGAGAACCTGTATTCAGTTGAAGTTCAAACCACCACCAGCAGGAGGGTTGCCACCTTGGCTAAAGTCAAAAACAGCGGGAGCAGCTTCCCCAGCAGTAGCCATTGCGTCATCTTCCTCTTCCATCCAGTATGCCTCAAGAAGCTTCACAGCCTTTTCATAGATTTCATTATTATCGTGGCTCTGTAGGTTCTCGATCTTTTCCAGGCCTTCCGCTTCATCAATCATCTGAGCAAAGAGATTGCCATCACCTGTTGCACCCATGTTCTTGTCGTGCTCCCCTACTTTAAGAATATTCTCAAGACCCTCCAGACAAACTGTTACAATTCTCGGATCAGGGCAAACAAGAAGGTCGCACAATGGCTTGATGCAGCCCTCTGCCACCAAGTACCTAGGCAAGACAACACGAGTTCTAAATTATGCTCAAAGAAGACATACATAAGTTGCATTGCACACAACTCCACAAGCCAAAAGGCAGTGCAGTAAGTCAAGGGAGTATACTTGATTTGCTCATGGGAACCACCAGAGGTAGCATTTGAGATGGCCCAAGCAGCCTCCTTCTTGATATCAAACTCTGCTGTTTGAAGCAGTTGCAACAAAGGAGCGATAATGCCAGCACTTATGACAGCCTAAAAACTCAATATAGCAAAGTGAGTAATCAATGACTAACATTTTAGAACATATGAAAGCAAAGAAACATGACATGGCTCATCTGTGGAAAATCTCATTATTAAATTATTATTAATAGTGACAGATATAAAAGAACACTATGCTAACAAGAGGTTAAGAGTTGCTAATTTCCAGCCAACAAATATGAGCTAAATACACCACTTGGAACACTCATTTGCAACATAACAATTGCACTAGAGAATTTTGATGTCATCCACTTAGTATATGTAAAAACAAACTAGTGGCATATGATTTTCTGTATGTTACCTGTATCTGATCTTTGTTTCCAGCAGTAATATTTGAAATCGTCCAGCATGCCTCTTTCTTAATGCTTTTCTTGTGGTTCTGTGTCAATAGATTCAGGAGGCGAGGAAGAGCTTGATGATCAATGATACACTGCAAAAAATAGAAGAAAAGTTCAATAAAATGACAGTCACAAGTAACTTTCTTGGTGCTTCATTCGATGCTTGTGACAGTGCATTAGTTCACCCGGCAATATTAAAGAAAAACTGTCAGAACCACTTATTTTTGGAACATGTGATCATATAAAAAACACACACACACAAAACTAGCTCTGATAACTGATGGCATAAAGTGTGCCAGATATATAGAAAGCTGCCAAACTTAATGTACCACCTGAGTTTGCATATCATCTCCAGTGACAATGTTCCCGACAGTTCGTAGAGCAGGTATAAGCACTGACGGTGATGGATGGCTGCATGTGGTATCAGCACGCATCATATAAAGATAAAAAAAACTGGTGCAAATAAGAAAACTATGAAAGCAATCAACATGATGTTGTTACACAGAATCTTCACATACAGGAGGAGCTCCACAAGCCGGGGGCAAACACCAGCTTCAATCACAGCTTGGATCTTATCATTAGTGCCATCAGATAAGTATGACAGAGCCCAGCATGCATCAGTGAGAACTTCCTCATCGTTGGAATGGATAAGTCGTGCAAGTGCAGGCAGAGCAGGCTTAGTCTATAACAGCCAAAGAATAACATGTTTAGTTGGTAACAATTGTTACAGAAAAGCAATAAAAAAAAGGTCTTGTCTAAACCTGATCAAATGATGGCTGCGGCTTTCCCCTGCAGAAGTTAGACAAAGTCCAGGTGGCATTCCTCAACATGGAGAGCTTAGCATGCTCATTCAACTGTGCTAGCAGAGGCATCAACGCACCATTGGCAAGAACAAGGTCGCGGCACTTCGGAGAATCACCAGCAACATTACCCAGAGCCCACACAGCCTTTTGTATTGTTTTAAAACAGAGGAAGGGCATTACTGTCACATCATACACTCCTAAACAGCAAATAAAAAGCACATAAGCCAAAAGACTAAATAAATACCTGCTCACGAACATCATCACTAGCAGACCCAAGAAGCTTCACAAATATAGGAACAGCCCCATGATCAATAACAACCTTTGTATTTTCTGAAGTGCCAGAAGCAATATTTGTGAGAGCCCATGCTGCTTCGAACTACAAAAAAAAAAAAAAAAAAAAAAAAAACTGGTCAGAAATCCATTTTCATCCAGCAACAACAGGATATAAGATTTAGATTGTATCAACATACCTGCAGCTGGGGGAAATCCTCTCTGGTGAGAAACTGCACAAATCTTGGAACTACACCTGATTTGATAACTTCTTCAATGGGGGGGCTCCTCTCTAGTTCAGAAATATTGCAAGTTCAACCAATGTTTAAAAACAGTGTATAATGGGCCACCTTTGAAAAACAAACTAAGAAGCAAAAACAACTGGAAAGAGAGCAAATTAGTACCTATAGAGAGCAACTTGCGGAACTGTGTGGTGGCCTCAAGCTGAAGGCTATTGTCATCAGAATAAACCCCACTAACCATAACTGGGAGGCTTTCAAGCTACCAATTTAACACATCAAAAATATCAGACCAAGTATTGTCAGTGTCAACAACAACAACAACAACATAGCCTTTCAGTCCCAAGCAAGTTGGGGTAGGCTAAGTATTGTCAGTATCAAAAGAACCTAAATAGTATTGGGTGCAAGATATGAAGCAAGCCATTTGTACAACAGCCACATTAAGCTCAAGAAAATAAGCTTGACAAGGAGTCAAGGACACAAGCAGCATGGAAGCATGCTACTTTTTCTTTTCTTTTTTGTCCTCAGATAAAAGGCTTTGGATAACCATCCAATAAATATATTTAATTAGTGCTTAAAACATAATAACGACTAAAAATATCAGCTCAAGAGAATTCAAAACAGACACCTGTATAAATGGTATCGGTGTGATAAAACTCTACAGACATGATAATAAGCACAACACTAAAACAAAACGTCAAAACCAGGAAAGCTAAGAAAGCACTAAAAAAACTAAAATAATTTCAGCAGCCACATGAGGCTAACAATGTAAAAAAAGTAATTCAGATAAAATAATATTAATTCAAACATATGTAGCTATAAAAACATAGCTCCAAAGCTTCTGTTGTTAAACAAGGTTAATTTCTTCGACACTTTTGACCACATTGGTAGACAACAAGATTTAGTGTGACAAATCTTTAGGCACAGTGAAGCTCACTTCTAAAAGGCAGCCAAGTGACTTCAGTTTAATTTTGAATAATTTAGGTATGAAATTAGGCAAGGATACATCAGAACTATGATGTTATCTCATAACAGCAAAGATATGTCGGATCAGGAGGATACATATTTTGAAACAAGACAAAAAGTGTACATCAACATAACAAATCAGCACAGCTATAACATGGTAAGCACTGAATCTGAAGAATTGATGAGCATGACTATGCAAACTCATTCCAAATATTAAACAACATCAGTCATGCAGTGTTCTAAGCTGAACAAGATAATAAAACAATCAATAACAAGACCAACACCATCAGATCTTGCACATGATTAGGACCGCAACAGAAGAGTATCCCTAAAAATCAAGAGCTATTCCTTGGTCTAGTGATCAAGACATGGTGATACAAAATAAAATGCAGCAAGAACGTGTCATAAGGTGATAGTGTACATTCATTGACATATAGAGACTAAAGGAAATAAGAAATATTGCTTAAATCAATAATAAAAAATATGTTTGAGACACTAACAACTTGGCAAATCACCTATAACATGTTCTAGAAAAATACCACCCTGAAATTTTAAAATCGGCATATCTAGAACCTAAGAACCATATGCCTACAATATATTTTCTGAATGCTATGGATGATAGGTATACCTAAGAAATCACAAGCATAAAGTAATAAAACTTCTGGTACATCTAAATCAATACCAAACGCTTGTCAAAACACTACTAGCCTGCGTCTAAAATGACAAAATCTAATTTCTAGAGAGTTAATCTGGTCCTCAACCCAATATTAATCAGAATCAGAACACTAAAAGGCTAAAGGTAGCTGAGAGTACAGCGGCAAGTACCAAACACTCTGAATGACAGGTAATCAAATATGCATGCAGCCTTCTGCAGCAAATACTCATAGTAGTCACATACGGGCTAGGAGCTGCAACTTGTATTATAAGCATGAAAGGGCGAGTAGGCGAGTATAACATCTTGGCATTGCTTAACAGGCGAAGCGATCTACCACACTTGTACTGAACACTCGTCCAATCGCGACATAATACGAACACTAGAATACCATCGCAGCAGCGAATGAAAAAAAACACACTCAGAAACCGGAACAGAGAGCGGAGCGGGCGGCGTATCCTCACCTTCTTCTCGACCCCGGACGGAGGGGCAGGGACCTGGGCCTGGAGCCCCTCGCGGCGCCTCTTGAGGAGGCTCTCCTCGCGGCGGTTCTTGCGGATCTCCACCATATTGTCCTCGCGCCGCCGCCGCCCCTCCTCCGCGTCAACCGCCACCTTGTAGCGGTTCCGCCGCACCTCGACCCGCTCGCTCGGGCGCAGCGACATGGCTGGCGAAGCACCGCTCGTTCTCCAGCCCTCGGTCTCGCTCGCTGAACGGCGGCGGCGGGAAGGAGGCAAAACCCTAGCCGGGCGTCGGGGGAGCCGAGGGGAGCGGGAGGAGGGGAAAAAAAGGAGAGGGGAGAAACCCTAGCGGCGAGTGGGAAAGCGGAGTTAAAGCTCACACCACGATCGAAATATTCTTCTTTTCTTTTTCCTTGTATTTTTTTGAGGCCGCTAAAATGCATTCCGAGATTTGGAAATATATGTAGAGCTGTAGGCCCACAAATTGTATGGCCCATCTATGCTTCCCCCACCCCCCCGGACTGGGCCATTAGCCTCGATTTGTCTCTCGGGATAAAGAAGATTGCGTCTTGTATCTACGACCCAAAATTCATCACCACTACCAGTTTAAAAATCACTATCACTAGAAGAGAGAATAGAAGAATACAGTTCCTCCGATAAAAACCATGACCTATCCTAGGTTATCATAAAAAATTCAAATGTAAGAAAGTTTTCTTGTAACATAAAATGTTCATCGATGAGAAGTAAAAAATCATGGCCATAAATATATATTTATATTTTTTTTGTGAATTACACAAGTACACCGTAGACACTCAACACACACGCACACTCACCCCTATGAACACACGGATACAAAAAACCCTACTACCCTTCTGAGAACTTCCGAAAGACCGTCTCTAGTCCTTCCTTCTTAGGCCCCTTTCGGCACAACTTTAGCCCCAATTTCTCATGGCTCCTCGCATGGAGCACTGCTAAATGGACATCTAAAAATGGCTCCTTGCAAAGTGTCCATGTGAGCCAAAGCCGTTTTTCATTAAGGAGCTAGAGCAAAAAATTGGCTTCTCCTGACTCCTCACAAACTTGATATAAATTATTGTGGTCCTATCACTCAAGCCATTTTTGCCTAATGTTTTTTTTAATGGCTTCAGTCCACCAAAATAGTTGCTCCATAAGAGGAGCCAAAATTAGAGCCCTTTTAGAAGGAGGCAATGCCCTGCGAAATTGGCCCTTATAAGGGCAGCTCCAACAGTGTTAAAAGAGTTAGCTCATGACATATTTTATTTAATAGTAAGAAGAAAGAATGATAATCTGGCTCTTCATGAAGAGCTAAGCTCACACCCTATGATTACATATTTTTCTATAATGTTACTCTATTTTTATCTTTAAAAAAATCATTTGAGCTAGCAAATTGACTCTATTATCGAGGGTACTCTAAGGCCACTGCTATATTTATAGCTATCAATATTGGTTATATTAAAATATGCTCCAATATGATTTTTTACTGACCAATCCTCTTACGACAATTCTAAATATGTATACCAACCGATGAGAAGTCGGTACAAATAGAAATAGCGACCGATGATCCGTTCGAAATTTGTACCGACCAATCATTCGTCATTATTACTGTTGTCTAACACTAATTTTTTGCTATGGTATAGTACGTGCAAATGTGTTATTATGAGGTATTCATTGGACTAGGCTTTGCAAGATCCTATGATCCTACCTGTTTGCGGTTGTCCTTGATCACTTGCATTGAGCATTGTATTGCGTCCGAGAAATCAGAATCGATAAAGGACAATGTTTGTAGAGGTTTATGTATCTTTATTTATACGATATAAAAAACTATATGGAGTATAATTGCTAAATCTCTTCATAGATACTAAATGGTCAATTCAGGACGAGGAAAAGAGAGTACAGCAGCATGACGATCAGATCAGATGATCCTCTTCTAGAACCAAAACTGTGATTCCAATTTGAATCATATTAATATTCCACCTCAATTCGCCTCCCCGTTTCCGAGACCAAATTAACACATCTCTACAGGAAATAATAATGTGAGATGGCCAAAGCAAAACAAACTTAACGCATCAATCAATGTCGCGCGAAAGCGCGCGCGGGCACGCGCGCAGTGTTGCCGCGGCGGCAGCGATGCGAGGGCCCAACGTCCGGCCGTGTCGTTGTCCGTGGAGAAGGAAGGAGATCATCAGATCATGTTGGAGAGCGAGCGGCAGTTCTCGGACATCTCGACGAGCGACGCGTCGAACTGCTCCATGGGGTTGGGCTCGCCGATCTGCCTGAACTGCTCGTCGCAGTTTTGCATGTCCTGCGCCGCCATGCCCATGGTGGCGCGGATGGTGACGGCGTCCTTGAAGCCGATGGCGCGGCGGCAGGCTCCCAGGTTGTCCTCCACGTCCAGGTACAGGTTGTTGCACAGGTCCAGCACCGTCCGCGCCTTCGGGGACGCCGTCAGGGCCGCCTCCTTGACGTGCGCCCGCGCCGCCTCGGTGCGCTGGTTGAACGCGTCCACCTGCATCCGCAGCACCGCCATCGGGTCCAGCACCGGGTTGCTCGCCGCCTCCGGGCCCACCGTGCTGGTGCAGATGTCGGGGAACGCGGTCCCCTTGCAGATCTCCGCCAGCGTGGCCGCGTTCACGGCCGCCGGCGGTGTGGCTAAGAGGGCCGCGACGAGGAGGAGCAGGGCGCGGATTCCTGCCATGGCTAGCTGTTGGCTTTATTACCTGTGTCTCGGTGGAATTTACGTGGGCTGCGTGTCGGAGGAGGCTGGTGAGAAGAGGAGGGGTGCTGATGAGCTGAGGGGCTGCTCGGACGGGGAGGAGGAGATAAGTACGCGGGGTTGGCTGCATGCAGCATGCATGGACAACGGAAATGGCGGTTGTCCTCCTTTGCCCGGATTCCCTTTGTCCGTTCGTTGGTATTGCCATTTGCCAAGTTCCCATTTTTGGTAGCCCTTAACCAGAGCAGATTGCATGAAAAAAGCAACACTCCATGTGGAAAAAAACTTGTAAGAAATAACTCAGAGAATGAAGGCCAAACATGCTCTATCGAAGGAGATTTGCCTCACATATATTCAAATCCTTACACGCGGCTTCTTCTAATGCAAAGATACGCACTCTCGTGCGCATTCGCGAAAAAAATCCTTACATGCGGGAGAATCGGTGATCAGGCACGGCTCTACCCGTTGGAGCCCTCGGGTTGCCGCGAGACTTCGTGAGCGGACTGCGTCAAAATTACACTCAGCCGTTTCGAGTCGCATGTATGCAACACCAACTTTGCGTAGACTCTATGTAGCCTGCTTCATCAGCAGTTGTGCGATACAAATGATTCATCGGGATAGCAAGGGACCGGACGTCCGGACGCCCGCGCCCGTAGACCACTGCCCGCGCCGTTCGCGCGTCCATATGGGCCCACATCGCCCCGAACGTCACCAGTATCGGGAAAGAAGGGGAGGGGCGGCAGATGCCTAGCCTGTGCTAGGAGGACGGGAAGACGCCGAGGCGAGGCGGCAGAAAACAGGAGGAGGGAGATATAACGGTCGATCTACTTTTGAAACATTGAGATGCAACACTTGCAACATACGTCTAAAGGTAGATGAAACACTTGAAACATGCATCGAAACACTTGCGAAAACCACGCGAGGCCCGTGCCGCCCCGAACGTCACCAGGGTGGCGGATGCCCAATCGGCGCCGGGAGGAGGATACACCGAGGCGAGGCAGCAGAAAGCGAGGAGGGAGATGCAACACCCAATCTACTTTTGAAGCATCCAAATGCAACAACATACGTCTGAAAGTAGATAATACACTTAAAACATGCATATGAAACACTTACAAAAACACCTAAAAACACTTAAAAACTATTGTAAAAAATACGCAACATCGAGATAAAACACTTGCAACATATGTGTGAAACATATGTAACATATAAATAAACACACTTACAATATACGTCTACAAAAACAGATGAAACAGTGGGAACAGAAGCTTGTAATATACCTATACAACCACTGCAACATATGCAACATCCCAATCTATTTTTGCAACATCCGCGTGAAACACTTGCCACATACTTCTAAAACACTTGAAAAACATGCTTGCAACATGCGGTTTCATCGCAACATCTCCTTGTTGCTTGGGAGAATAGAGGTTCGTCGGGTATAGAGTTTACCGGTGTAGAGCTCGCTGGTGGTGTGGAGCTTACTGCTCTGGTGGAGAAGGCCGCGGCAGACTGGCCGTCGTGAGCCGCGTGCGGGTGAGTTCCGCCCTAGCCACAACAAGCTGGGCAGACAGAGCCCGAAATATGTGCGGGCGGGCTCCGCCCAGGCTGCAGCGAGCTGCACGCGGGCGAGCTCTGCCACGGCTATGGCGAGCCGGGCAATCTCCGCCCCCGCTGAGATGAGCGTAGGCGGCCGCGGCGAGCACGAGATGAATGTGGGCGGAGACCACCCCGGCGGGTCGCCGCGAGCTGCGCGGGTGGAGCGGTGAGCTAGGTGGCCATGGCGAGCACGAGACCGAGCTCTGCTCGATTTTTTTTGAAACTACAGAGACGAGTGGGATAGGAGGTTATTTGGGCTGGCGTCGCGGCCCGCCAATGGAAGCGTTCGGGTGGATGGACGCCCGGATTCCAGGAATTACCGGCGATTCATTGGTGTGAACGAGAATTTTACTTTCTTTACCTTTCGCGGGCTTGCGAGTTGTGCCAATCTATCCTATGCTTCTTCTTCCTCCTGCCCATGGCACTGCTTTGACCACCCATCACTCACGCTCGTAACTGGCAGATCCACACTTTAGTGCGGATCCAACACCTCCTGCCTGCTACCATATGCTTGGGCTACATCCGCTTGATGCAAAAGGAGTTCACCTCCTGATCCCACCGCCACCGTCGTACCTCCCTGTTATTACAACACACAAATCACATCATGCTCACCCCACCATCCCTTCTCTTTGCGTCGGACCCGCTATGCCGACGACACGTTTGGATTGGGATGGGGATAGGGAATGAGAAATAGATTGGGATAGCAGGAAGGGTTGTTGAATGAGTATGCTACTCTTGATTTCCCTATCTTTATTCATTTCCCATTATCCAAACCTGGGATCAGATGTATCCCACTCCTTATTTCTCTATCCCACCTTATATTTTCCAATATTCAAACGGCACCTCTGTGTCATTGCCCCTGTGCTCTGTCCTCACATGCCACTGACATGTCCGCCTCCTTCGCTCCCCTGCCTCCATCCTCGTCCTTGACGGGCGAAGCGCGAAGTCAGACCATGGGCACCGCGTTTGAAGCCACCTGTCAGTGGTCTAAGTCGTTGGCAACAACTTCCATGTTTCACATCCATGGGCCGTCGAGATGAAACTAGTGAAGAAGAAGCGATGGGTTTTGGGAAGTCCTTCAAGGAAGCCATGCACCAGTGCTAGCACAACCTTCGAACTCTATGGATGAGTTAGGAGACAAGTAGAGCAAGCGATCCATTATAGTGGTCGTCGCGATGGCAGCAACAACAGAGGACGGCATTGTTGTGGCACTGTTTGCAGTCTGCCAATTTGGGGGACTGGGCGCCTATTCAGATCGATGCAAGCTTCGCCCCCACATTGGGCGTCAGGTTTGATGTCGTCTTTACTGCATGTAGCTTCAAGGATTCATTTCTGCAAGCAAAGCATGGCCATGGCAACTATCCCTAGTGCATCACATGTGATTTAAATTGAAATAAAAGAAAAGTTTTCATAGTGTCACGCATGCAGCCTCCACGGCGCAACGAAGCGTGCCATTCATCCCAGTCGTGCATATATGTGGGAGCAGAGGAACTTGCCCCCATCGTGCTTAAGAGTAATGGAGCATAGCTCCGTAAACCCTTAGGTGCTGTTTGATCAACTAAGGATTTTAGAAACCAGCTAAAAGAAAGAGAATGGGATCCAAACACTTATCATTCTTGTGGATAACAACGATATAATCACTCAGATTTCAATAGTCCACTATCTCCCCGTACCTACTATTTTTCAATTCTTATATTTATCCAAAGACCAACTTAATCTCTTCAACTCTCGTTATATAGTTTGCACTGCATTGAGTTCTCTTAGTCCGATTTCTACTTCAAATAGGAACTTTGCCTCACATCGTGCACATATGTGGGAGCAGAGCAACATGCCCTCATCGAGCTTAAGAGTAATGGAGCACAGCTATAAAAACAGTAAGAAAAATGGACCCTAAACCCATTTACTTTGGATTTTGGTGTTTGATGATCAACACAACTAAATTAGACTAATGTGTTTGCTAGTGTCTATTTTATAGTTCAACTAAGTTCGTGCCTATACGTTGCTACGGGACAACTAAATTTTTATACTAAAAACACATGGATCGCACGATAAGATAACAATACTGTGAAATTAAATACCAACATTAAAGTGACATTTAATACAAAAAGCAAAGTTCGTGAAATTAACACAGTCACAGAGAGGACGGCGTTGCAAGCTCACCAACTCTACTGTACAGTCCTTTCCATACGTTGCAACGGGAGCTTCTGTGGGCCTTTGAGAGACCTTCGTGTGTACAGAACACATCCCGGTCTTCGTGTTGGCCCTTCTCTCCCTCACCTAAATCCTCTATTGTTTCTAAACGAAAATAATAAATCCTATATCAGTTTCATTAAGGTCACTACAAAGGTAGAGGAAAACCGCAACCGAAACTATGCCATGGAATTAAAAAATTCGCACGTTGAAGAAAATTAAAAGAAAAGTAAGAATTAGACCATAGAACAACGATTATTCTTTTAAGAGAAGGATATATATTTGTTTGAATAATTAGGACTTAGTACACGTGTTTTGTTTACAGGATGAGAACGATCTTAACAGATATGCAAATCTTACATGGTTACAGACCTATTATTTAGACAAGAAATGAGGAATGCTAGCCAACGGGAGACATAAATCACGAAAGGATCTCTTTCTACATTATGTATATTTAATACCCTAGAGTAGTTAAATTGAATATTGACAAGACAGCTATGTTCTGAATTTTTTTTGCCTTAGGAACATGAATTTGAATAAATAATCCACTTAAACATTAGGGCAGACTTGCCACTTTGCCAGCAGCAGTAAGCTTCAAAAATCAGGTGGCAGCCTCCCATGCAGAAGAATTAATACCAATAACATATGTCCAACCTTTGCAAGTTGCATTATCAAAGTAATGCTTTTGTTTACTGTAGATTTTCACGAGATCTAGCTAAAGGATTAGGTCAAGGCATATATAAAATTTGTTCATTCTGACCTTAGAATTACTCTGAAATTGATGTTACCTCTATCGTTGAACCATTCAAGAGTTTGAAAAGAAAAAATCAGTTTAGGTTTTGAAATTCTAATATGCTTCTTGGATATGCATTAATTGTCTATGGCATCATCTATCAATGCAAATCAAACAACCAGCAAATATCTTTTAGGAACCAAACGTAGATTGAGAAAATATTTATAATTCATGCAAAAAGCAATTTAACAATTTCCAGCAACAAACATCAGCAAGCCTTGCTTGCAGCGGCGGAGCGTGGCATCAAACAAAGGAGGGGCTAATTCATCTTGCCTCTAACTTCTAGCTACTACAGACTGCCTGTGTTCTTAGTTAAATATTTTTCTTCTCTCTGTCGCATGAAACGATGAATGCATTCACAGGAATAACAGTGGAGCATAGTCAAGCAAGGGGGGGCCGATGC